CTTGCATGTGAAGCTCTGTCATCTTCATCACTATCACAGGAGTGGAAACCATTGGCTATGATTTCATCGCTTAAAAGGAAGTTATCTGCAAGACAGCACAACAATGGAAGTTACAAAGCTTGAGCCAAGCAGCACAGTTAATGCATATTTAAATGCATCACAAAACCTAAAGTTGTAATTCATTGCATTCAACTTCAATCACATACAAATAGTCAGTTTCACCACTTAGTTGTTGTTGGTTTTGTTTTTTGTTTTTTTTTAAATTTTTTTTTAGCTTATTAGTACATTTTCAGGCCTCTGATTTACTGCAGAATTTCTGTGTTAATACTGGTATCAGTGGGCTGACGTTGACGTGAGGTTTTCACTGTATCAAGTGTTGGTTACTGAGGTTATCTGTACCTTCAAAAAGAGTGAAGCGTTTTTAGATTACCATTATTTTCTCCTATTTTCTCCTATGGTTCTCACTTCACTCAGCTCTTACTGTGAAATTGGGCAAAAATCAATGTCCCACAACTTACAGAACAATCTGCAATGGGGTTGTAAGAGCCCAGCATTTAAACACACGCACAAAGACACAGCTGGACAGAAATAGAGAATTTTGCTGTGCTGTTGCATCTGACTTGCAGTAGCTGGCCACATACACACGTACGGGGTATTTCATTTATGACAGAAAAACGTGCTACCTTGAACCACCTTCACTAAGTTTATCACCATTATACCTTGCAGATGGGTTTGCCTTTGAGCACTCTGCTTGTGGCTCTAAGCCAGAGTAACCCAATCTAACTTCATCACATGCCCAGAATAAGGACTGTGGAGAGGAATGGGATACTTGTTTCACGGCATGCGATACCAAGGTAACATTTAAGGTGAAAATCCGTGTTTTGTTCTGAGCAGTTTGTTACAATATGGGCTACTATTTTTTTTTTTTAAATTATCTTTTTATTAATAGGCACAGCACGTATATTAATTTGTTGAAAATCTATAAGCAAATGAAAATAAGTCTTAGTCTCTGGAGCGAAGAATCACCGCCATCACTTCCCAACACCAGTGAATGAACTCCTGTGCAGTACTGAAGCTAGGTCACCTCACCTTTACTCTTAAAGAAAAACATTTTTATTCAGAGGCTGCGTTGTCCAATTTGTTTAATTGATTGGATAAGTAAATTGCAGAAATGATTCTGATTAAATTGAAAAGAGTAGGAGGCCAGTCATTTGCTTTCTACGCTTGCTGCCTCCTGAGAGCACAGGTGCCCTTCTGACATTATGTCTTATTAAGATTTTACATATTTGAAGCATGACACTTCTGTTTTGTAACACATGAAGTCAGTGAGCATCTTACACAGAAAAACTTTAAGAATAAGAGAAACACACATCAGCACACTACGTTTTACTACAACAACCACTGTGTCTGCTACGTGAAGAGTCAAAGTCTGTGTCATTAAAGACTCATCACATACAGGTCACATCATCATAGATTTATAAAACGCGATAGCCTAAAGTAGCAGTTTAAATTGTAACACTCCCCAAGGAGTTGTCTTGATTCCTCAAAGGAATAAAAGGACTTCGTGCCAGAAATAGCCAATACAAACCAAAACATGCCTGAGGATTGGAGCAACTTGAGGAATAGCCTCCACATAAGGCGTTATAATTGAGATCACTTCCCAGGCAAAGCACAGTACCTTATACCTTTAAAGGACTTCCCAAAGCACTACCTTAAAAACCCCAAAGCCTCCCAGCCTGTCGGTCCCAACACAGCAGACCGAGCTCAGCGCCGGTACCGCCCAAGCCGTGCTGCAAACCCACCTGCAAAGCCAGCTCCCTGACGGCGCAGCACTTTGCGCTTCAGCTGCTGAAGCCTAAGACTAACTCGAGGCTCCCTAAAGAACCGGTCCGCACGACCGCTCCTGTCCCTTCCAGAAAAGTTTTCAGAAAGTAACCGCTGTCAGGAGACGGGGCTTACGGCTGTCATTTCTAATAGCGCGCCGCCGCCGCCACGGACGATCTCAGCAGCGAGCGCCGAGGCGATCTCGCCCCGAGGCCCGGCACGAATACCGCCGCCGTGATGAGCCCCGATCGGAGCGGGAGAGGCCCGGGGCACCGCGGCCGACGGCCGAGCGCGGCGCCTCCCTCGCCCCCCGCACGGCTCGAGCCGCGGCCGCCCCGTAGCGGGACGGGGGATGGGGTCGGGTCCTCACCGGGCTGCGGGGCCGGCGCTCCGGCCGCCCCGTTTGAACGCTGCGCCCGCTCGCAGCCAATGGCCGCCTCCGCCGCGTCTTCGCCGGGCGCCGCCTCCTCTCCCTCCCCCCGGCCCCGCTGCCGCGGCTGCGGAGGCGGCTCCGCCCGGGCCAGGCCCCGCTGCGCGGCCTTATTGTCCGCGCCGCTCCGGCCCTCCGTCGTCGCGCCGTCCTCCTCCCGCGCCCGGACGTCGCCATCGACGCTGACGGCCGCCGCCTCGCCTAGAGGTTCCGTCGCGGCGGCGGCGGGAGGCGGCTCCGCGCCCCGGTCCGGGCGGCGGGCGAGCGGCGCGCCCCGGCCGCATACGCCGTCTTCTGAGTTCGGGCGTTGGCGCTTGGGCGCGGGCTCGGCGCTCTCGCCCGCGGCGCCGGGGCCGCCGCCGTCGCGGGGCCGGAGGAGCGGAGCCTCCCCGTCCGCCATCTTGGAGAAGCAACCGCCGCCGCCGCCCCCCTCCCTCCTTCCCTCCCGCCCGGCGCAGCGCGCAGCAGCGCCGCCGCCGCGGCCCCCTCCCCCACCCCCAGGGAGCGATTTAAACCCGGCACGTGACCGCGCCGCCGCCCACGCGGGCGCCCGCCCCGCGGAGGCCGCAACAACAACAAACGGGGTCACGTGAGCGGGGAGGCGGAGGGGGAGCGCGGCTCTGGTCACGTGGCGGCCGGCGCCGGCTCGGCCCTCGCGCAGCCTGGCGTTCTGGTCACGTGGCTGCGCGCCGCCTGGGCCGCCACGGGGAGCGCTGCGGGGCCGGGGTGGAGTCGGTGCCTCGTTTCGCTCAGCCGGAACGGGCGGCCGTCTTCTTCTCCAGCGGTGGAGGCCCGCCCCGGTTCGTCGCGGGAGCGCGTTCCGCCGGCGGGGGTGTTGCTGGCAAATGGCGGTGCCGGTGCTGCGGAGGGGTGGAAAAACTCTGGGCTTCTTCGCAGCGTTCTCTAAGGCGGCTGTAAAACGCAGCGCTGACGAACAGTTGCTGCTCCCTGCCCCGGGCTGCGCTTAGCAAATGCACTTTGCTGGCCTCGCGAGCTCAGGCGTTTTCACGTTGCTCGTCCCTGACGGGACGCACAAAGCTCGTGGCTGAGTTGGTGAGGAGTCTTCTGCCGCGTTAATGGTAGACGCTGAACTGTGAGCCGTTTCTGCCCGAGCCACATACTTGGGTTTCCTTAGGCTGCCATCTCCCGCCCGAGGTTCCGCCCGGACAGAACTCCCCCGCTGTCCTGGCCGTACCGTTACCCACAGCCGCTGGTTCCCATCAGCGCTGGTGCTGCACGCACAAGTTAGCCGGGGCTGTTTGTTGGCCTGGGCCCTGCTGTTAGATGTTAAACTTCATGTTACCGTGAATTCGTTTTTTTCTTGTCTTGCCTTTCTTTTCTTTTGTGGGAGGGTATTAACTATGAGGGTAAGTGTGACTGGCACTTGCGTGTATCGTTAATGCATCTTGCAAGATGCAGTAGTGGATAGACACGTTATTTTCTTGTATTTGTAGACTTTCAGAGGGCAAAATGTTGCACTGGGCACAGTTCTAACACGATCAGTAGGGTTTTGCATAGTGTTTTTGTTTAGAAGTGAAATGAAAGAAACTGAGAGCAGCCCCCTGGAGGACATACGTGCTGCTCAGTTTCTTGTGCTTTGCAGAGTTCCAGTGGAAGTATCAGTGTGGAAGATATTCAAGAATGTTTATGTTTCTTTTGCTCGTACTTCTTGCTGTATAGATAGGCACAGAAACGTGTAATACAGTTGTGTTACACTTTCTCTTCTACAGCGATGAATTAAAACAACCTCTGGCAGCTGTGCGAAGTGGTGGCTGAATTGGCTTTACAGCATCCTCTCATTTGTTTAGTTCTGAGCTGATAGGAGTCAGAGTTTGCTTACAACAATAACAAAATCTGTTTTTTAAAAGAGAAATGTTGCCTGTCTCTTTTTGCACGTGCTTTGGTTTTATTACCTACTGGCACAGCAATATTGATCTAAACTTCATGGATATAGATTTCAGTATTTTTTTGTTTAATATTACTGCTTAATATCACCAACTACTTACATAATAGCCTTAGTAACTTCAATACAACCAAATCCTTAAGTTTGGTGGCAAGACCAATATTAGTCAAGTAGAATTTCTGCCTTGCAGACCTTGATAGCATCAGCTGTATTAAATCTATACTTCTGGTTAGTTGCACGTAACATTTCTCATGCTTCACATGTATCAAAACAAGAAGTAACAAGATGTGAATTAGAACATTTCTATCGTTGTCCGTGAATTTGTACTAAAGCGTTCTTTTTCAGTGTTGAAGTTCAGACAAGAATCAGATTTTGAGGCATAAAAAGAGAGGTGTTACTTTAGTAATGGTGTTTGGATGCTTATTTATGTGAAGACTGTGTTCTAAGGAAGACACCGTACAACTGACACAGATGGATGATACAGAGCTTTCTGTGAAAGTGTTGAGGAAATGAATCGAGGATCCTAAGCTGACTCTAACCTTGTGAGCGTTTATGCATGCAATGATGATGTTGCAGTAGTTGCCCCTAAATTGGGAAGTCAGTTTGGCAGTGCTTGGGTCCTCTTCTGATCCTGCATCTCTGAGTATGTGTGACCATCCAAAAGTGGAGCATGCAGAACTTAAATAAGTTATGTTGTGCCTTGAATTCTGTGTGCTCTGTCCTTCAGAAGCAAAACAACTCAAGTTGTTTGAGAACTGATACTAGAAGATTTGATAGATTATATGGGAATAAATTGAAATACAGATTTCCCTTGTTATATTTAAATAGCCATTTTGGACCAACAAGTGGATGGCAAGCCTTCTGTTACGCTAAGACAGGATTTGATTTTGCTTCTGACTCTAAGCAAGCAACATTGTTGATTACGTGTTGGGAATGAACACAAACATTTTGTTAGTGGCTGGGTACAGAGGACAAGTATGAGATTTCTTCACTTTCTGTACTGTTTGTACATTCTGGGCTAGGCTAACCAAAACAGGTGAATACACATACACTGTGCCATCTCCTGTGCTGTGATACCCTTTCAAACAACACTTATCTCCTGAAGGTAATCTTCATTTTTTTTTTTTTTTTTTTTATCCATGGCTTCTCTTCCTCTCCTTTTTTGATGATGCTCCATGAGTAGTTCTGGTAAAGAGCAGCAGTTCACTATGCTACTCTGCTCTATTAGTATTTTGCAGCTTCCATGCTCAAACCTTTTGTTTGTATCCCAAGCACTGGAAATTCCTGGGAGGAGGGAAAATAAGTATGCCCACTGCTGTGGTTTGAATTGGAGTCCTTGTTCATTCCGTCTGAACAGAGTATAGATGGGAAAACTCCCTGTGAACAAAAAGCTTTCAAGGCTCAGGATTTTGTCAGTTGAATCCTGCTCTTGGATCTGCAGTTCGCTTTGTGGCACAAAAAAGCCCACTGAAACTGCAGGGAAAAGGGGTTAAAAAGATCCTTCCCTTTCACCTTATGCAAACACGCAGTAAATACTTGGCCAAGAACAATATGTCAGGAGTGCTGCTGGGGATGTGGAACAACTGTTTGTTTTTTGTCCTCCCCCAAAGTACTATCTATTTAAATATTTACACGATCACTTGCTAGAACACTTTCCTTTCTTTATTATACTTTCGTGATTCATTAGTCAGGAGTGGAGAAGAGGGAGAACTTTGTAATTGTTCATTCTTTCACTTTGTTGAAAAAACTCAGTTGTTTTATATACTCTGAGAAATACACCGATGTTTTCTAATTAGTTTAGTTTCACTGAGGCTCACGGTTTGCTGCTTGGTACTGCTACTTCTTTCTTTCATGTGCTTTTTATGTATTTTATAATCTTAACAGGCTATCTGAACATACACTAAACCAAGAACTTCCAGACAATACAGCCCTGAAGTAGCAGATGATTACATAGATAATTTCAGAAGATTAACGTTATGTGTAACAGTAACATAGAGTAAACCATAGCAATTATAAATGTGGGGGTTATGTATTCCATGTTTTATGAATGGTTCTGAATGGCCACTAGGTCCTTCACTGCTTCACTTAGTACTGTGATAGCTTCGATCATACCCCACGTATCTATTTTGCGTAGACCCTCCTAGGTTACTGCATCTAAGATTATATAAATATTCAAGGCAATATTAGTGTTAGTTTAAAGAATCAGCAGTATTTTATGACTTTAAACATCTTGCTTTACAAAGCTCTTGAACACGGAAAGTAAAAATATAGCTTCTTAGGCTCCAGAGGAAAGGTTTCATCATGTGGTTGCTGTTGCCCCTAGGTATCACCTTTTAAAATCAGTAGATCATTGGAGAATACAGTTAAACATGAATGTAGGCTTTGTTGGACTTAGACCTTCATCACTAATTATAGTTCAAATTAAAATGTATTTCATTTCAAAGTCAAATGAGTTTTACAAAGCAGGTGTGCGCATGATACAAGCCTCTAAGGTGCAATTTGAAATAACTGGGAACTTCTGTTTCTTTTCATAGTAGACAGTCTGTTATCTTTTTATGCTGTCTTTTCATAGGCTTGATTTTGACAGACATGCAACTGTACAAAAGCAATGAACTGTTTGTTTTTGAATAATAGTTGTAGAAGGATAGCTAGTTATCATTCACACACAAGGACTTACCTTTTCTGTTGAAGGAACTGACGGAACCAGAAGATTTGGCAAGGTTGGGACTTCATTCACAGAAGTGTGCAGCCCAGTCATCATTATTCTGGAAGCAATCACTTAGAAATAAAGCAGAATATATCTTTTAGAATATATAGGCCCTGGTGCATAAGAGCATAAAGTCAGTGAAACTGACTTTAACTGGCTATCTGCAGAATCCATATCTCAAATACAGCTAGATTTTACTGAGAATCCAGAATTCATTTTGGAGGAGACCCCGAGTTTGATGTTGAAATGACTTGGGTGACTACAAATCCCAGGGAGCACTGCCATCGGCAGGTTTGTGCAAGCGGATTGGCATCCTGCAGGGACCAATGGCAGGCAGAGAATTCAAGACAATTCATGTGTGTCAGCTCTCTGTATTAAAAAGCACTGGAGAGAGCTGCAGACCTGTGTGGAAATCGCCTGTTTCCCCAGGCTACATTTAAACCTATTTGTGAGCTGGGTATTGATATTATATTTTAAACCCGCTGTGCCTAAGCTTGAAAAAGCCTGCTGGACCAGCCCAGATGGATGCAATTTTGAACTGCAGACTGGATGAGTTGGAAGATTACTACAACTTGCTCGGATGTGATGAACTATCTACGGTAAGAGCCTTTCCCACCTCCCTTCCAGGTTAATAACATTTTGAATGTCTTTGTGTATCTATCGGGGGGATTTGAAATTATTAATCTCTAAAGGTAGAACTATTTGAAATGTACTGCAAACCTTCCTTCTTGCCACTTTTCAGGATTCCCTTTGCAAAGGGAATTTTTCTGATCTATATGCCAATGTTCAGATTTTAGAATGAGGCTGACATTAAAAATGTCTTATACAGTATTGTATTACAGATATAGGTGAAACTACGGCTTATTAAATAATTTAGTTCAACATGTGGTATGGTTTTAAATTGTGAGCCAAGTGCATAGATTTGCTAACGTGCAAATAACATTTTGGAATACATTTGCAGTTTTAAAAGATGAAGAAGCTAACTGTGTGCAACTAACTGAAAGTTCAGAGTTGTCAGTGACTGATGATGCTATTGAGTTTCTCAAGTATATTCCTTTCTTGTCCCTTTTTTATTTTTGAAAACTGTATTCATTATTGGGAAGATAAACAGAAAGTGCATCTTTTTCATTTGTCATATTAATGGTTTTTAATGATAATTTTAATGACTTACAACTAGTTTTAAAATTTTTTTTGCTGTTGGCAGATGCATACTGTAGGTATGTAAGCAGTTGTATGATTTGTACTTAAATGCTCTTCTTCCTAAATATGCCCATGTAATGTTTTTGGATAGTTTGACTTAGTGGTATGCTATTATTTTTTAATCTAGCTGTTGGAATTAGGTTCAGATTTTGAAAAGGGAGTTTTGATTACTCTGCTGTAATGAATGGTAAATTCAGAGTAAATAAAAGCTATATTTTGCTCAGTAAATTTAATCAGATGCTTTTGTTTGTCGTAGTGGTCAAATGCTGGTAAAATTTATGTCACTGAAAGCCAATTAGTAAGCACCTTAGGTCTGTTGCAGAGGGTAATTTAAAGCTTTCCCTGAGAGAACTTCTAATGTGACATCCCAGCAGAGGGCAGTGTTAAAGTCCATATCTAGGCTTGTTTTGCAAATGCTATTTCTCGTCTCCTAGCTCACATTAATACCTTACGGGCTTACTAATTAATGGACAGTTCATGCACATGTGACAGTGATTTTTCGGATTGCTTCAAAACGAAATTCAAAAGGTGGAATAATTGCCAGTGGGTCCTAAAAAAATAATCTGTCAAGTACTATTTATTGAGACAAACAGGAGATGTGACAGCATTGTTTTGGACGTGGGAGCGCGAACTGAGGTAACAGGTTGACTGAGTGCAGTGATTCCTTCTCTCAGCACGCTGTACATGACTACTGGCATTTACAGAAGTTTGAAGCAGGGCAGGTATTTTGCAATCACACTGATTTCTGTATGCATCCAGTATTTGTAGCAGTACAGGCTTCTATGCACCCTTCTTTAGGCCTGTACAGAAGTGAATTTACTCTTGCACACTCATAGTATTTTTATGCCCTGTGCTGATCTGACCTGGATCAATTTAAACACAAATAGCATCAAGTATTTTGACAGCATTTCTCTATATTAAAAAAAAAAAAAGTGTTCATTCTTGGTTTCTTGCAGAAATGGGCTCATAGCTTCTTCGTATTGGAGAGGCTGAGGTGATATTTGTTCCACATCCTTCATCCATGAACTGTGTTATTCTAGTAGGCATAAGATAACTTTTTTGGTAAAATATATCATTGATTTTTTTTTTTTTTTAAATGTAAATTGAATGTATTTTTGTATAAAAAATTACACAAACTTTTCCCAGTGTATGACCACTAAATTTGGCCAGCTAGTTAAGTGACATGTAATTTTGTTTCACAAAAAAATGATGTTGTAACTTAGTTTTAAAATATTTCATTTAAATTTTATATGGACATCAGAGTTTGAAGGATGCTGAATTTATGTGAACAACTTCTCCAGCATAGAAAAAATAATAGCTAACTGATATCTTAGGATGAATTCTTATCTAAGCTTGAAATATAGAATGGAATAAAGAAATGTTGGCTTCTGAATTATAGGAAGAAACAAGATACTATGAAAATCTGAAGACTTGAAAATCAAAGCCTAACCCCAGCTACTGTGGTTTCCTGTGTTTTGTTAGCTCTTAATCTCTCTTTGCTTTTCCAGAGGTTATGATACCTTATGACATTATAAAATGTAGGAACTTGTAGTTAATTTAAAGTAATATGTGTCAATATTCATATGTTGATTACAAATGTATTCTATTCCACACCAGCCTTCACCCAGAAAATTAACTTGACAGGAAGACTGTGATCTGTTCTTTGTCTAGCTTTGTGGTATGTGAGCTAGATAACCCATGTGGTTGTGGCTAAGTTTAATATGCACATGTGATCTTTACATGTTTTTCTTAAAGCTAACTCACTATATTGGATGACCAAGTTTCACTGAAACAAAAGCAAGGATCAGTGTGTGGATAATGAAATTAGTGTCACTGACAGATGGTGGTTGTTGCCTATTTTGCCTGTATTAAAAGTTTGTAAAATGAATAGGAAAAGAATCTTTCAACATTCTTTGTTGTTCTCCAACCCATTTCAAAGAGCAAATTTGAACATATTTTCTGTGTGTTTACTCACTTCAAATCTGATATCCTGTTTAGGTTGAGCAAATTCTTGCAGAATTTAAGATTAGGGCCCTTGAATGTCATCCTGACAAACACCCAGGAAACCCCAAAGCAGGTATGTATTTTTCTCTGTTTAAAAATAATCTTTATCTAAGATAACTAAAATGACTAAGATATTAAATTCAACCTTAAAATTTTACTAAATATTATTTTGCCCAATATGTTTTAATTGTCATGTGTATTGAGCATATTGTCTTTAAATAGCAGGCTTTAATATTCTGTTCCAATGTTTGCACACTCATAGGCGGTAAGAGTAAGTCATTAGTTTTTTTTTATTATTATTTCTAGGATTTCTTTCTTTAATAATTTATTCCCATGGTAGGAATCCAGAAATTGTTTATGGCATGTAGCCTTCCTAGACCTATGAAGTTGGACTGCTTCCAAGCCCAGTAGCATTCAAATGTCACACTTACGTCAACTAGTTAATTTGCATCCAGGAACAAGATAATCAGGATCATATTAAACGTACTTCAGTTTCTTTTAGTGTAATTTAATTATTGGAAATAAAGAGAAGCTAACACCACGTGAGTAGCCATCTGTTTGCAGAACATCAGCTAATGTCTCAATTAAGCACACAGTTCATCATATCCAAGCTATACCTGTGACGTCGAAGCAGCACCTGAGTTATTTGGAGACAATTTTACCCATTTATAACCAAAAAGACAGCTCTAATCTGTGCTCATCTTTGTCTGAGTTTCTATTCTTGCAACTGTTCTGATGATAATTATGGTCCCAATTAAAAATTGTAGAATAATTAAGTATACTTTTCATTTTGGTTAATGCACAAAGCTTTTCATTTGGATCCTTCCTAATTGTTTAACTGTAAACACTCCCCTGGGACAGCAGAGCTGTGAATGCAGAGGCTGTTACGGGAGGCTCCCGCCCACTGCCTCCAGCAGAGCTCTCAGCCACACTGCCTTTCCCTCTTGGTGTGTCGTCCTGTTTCAGTGAGTTGGCAAGGGGAGGTTGAAAGGCAAAATAGGTAGGATGTCTCACTTTAGTATTCTCTGAGAAGGAACCTCTTGAGATCTGGAGTTTGAGAGACAATCTGCCACCTGTTAACTATAACCTCATCACTAGTATTTGATTTACTGATTAACACAAGTGCCAGTGGAATCAGTGTAAGACTTTGCACCAAATTCTGGCTCATGCAGTAAAAAGAAACTTCCATGGTCATAGTCCCACAGCTCCCTCTAAAGTCAGTGAAGCTTAGTAACTCAGGGGAGGCCAAGTGCCAAACGTTAAAAGGTTTTATCAAGAAGTATTTTGTGCTGCATTGACCCAAACATTCTGTGTTTCTGTTAAATGCCTTTTCACATTGCTGATGAAAGTTTATGGTTTGATATTTCATCAGCTTAACTAAGCTCAGTAAAGAGTAATTAAAATAACTTTATTGAAAACTTGTGGCACTAGAAAAGGAAACTGCAGAAATTTTGATTGGGCTTTATATTTCAAAAGAAATCTAATTTGTAAACTCGAATATGTGAATAATAATAGAATAGTAACGAATAGTAATAGATCACTGTAACACAGGTGGTTCTTAGATAAATCTAAATCTTTATAACTTTTCTACAGATACAAATATGTAACTGCATCCTTAGTAATCATTTAATGAAAAATTATCCTGTAGGGGAAAGTGAGAGCTCTCATTTGTGCAGTCAGGTATCCAAGATAACGTTTTGGCATATGTGGAAAAGCTAACTATTTAAATGCACAATTTAATTATTTTCCACTATATTTAGATTCCTCTATGTGCTTGTTGGTTTTGCTTGTCAATTAACCTTGTGCTGCTGGTAGACCTGAATTGATTTCACTGAAAACAACTATTGGCTTTAGCATCTTTTTTGGTTGTTTTCTAGTGGAGAATTTCCAGAAGCTGCAGCAAGCTAAGGAGGTTCTTATTAATGAAGAGAGTCGAGCACGCTATGATTACTGGAGGAGAAGCAAAATCACCATTCCTTTCCAGCAGTGGGAGGCTTTGAGCAGCTCTGTGAAAACGGTTGGTGTTGTCTATGTCTGAGCCCACAGAGAGGAGGTTGGGTTGACCCAGGAAAAATCCTCCAGTGGGGGAGGGTGAGCTGCCACAGCTCTCCAGTGGTGGGTTTTTGGGATGGTGCAGAATGATTTCTGAGGAAACTCAGACAACGTTGGAGAGCTATAGAAGACCATTCATAGTCTGGTTTTAGACTGTTAGTATTACAGTAAATTCTTCAGATTGCCACTTTCCTGTCTATTATCTACACGTTACAGCTTAGAAATAGATGTTCTGAGGATTGATTTCCCTGCTAATTTTGTTGGTGTGTTTCTAGTAGGTTCTAATTCCACGATGTTTGATTACTTTCTGCATGGTTGTTACAAATCCACATGGTCATATATATCATAGAATCATAGAATCGCAAGGTTGGAAACGACCTATAAGATTGTCTAGTCCAACTATCTCCTTATCACCATTGCCACCACTAGCACTAAATATAGACAGGTGAATGAATGTTTCCCTTTTCAATCCTGCCTGCCTCAATTCTACTTACTGTTGATGTTTGAGAACCTCCTTAGCTGAACCATCATGCCTGAGTTTAAATATTTGATGGAAATATCTCACCAAGCATAGCTCAGTTCCAAACAGGAGTCATAATGCAGACTTTAGTAGTAAAAGCTTTCAAAATTGTCTTGCTTTCAAAAGGGACACTGCAGTCAAAGGCAGCTTTGAAAATGGAAATAGAAGTCACTCAAGCCCTCTTAAAAAGTATCTCAAGTCATGTGGCATGCATCTAGGTTTTGTTCTTTGTCTTTGCCTGACACAAGCTATCCTTTCAAATGCTGTTTGTAGTGCGTTACCATGTTTCCTTCTCCTGTTCACCTGCAAGCTTCTCAAGTACGTACTGTATTTGACTATTTATTACAATGTAGGGAAGAAAAAATCAATTTTTTTTAAAAGCATAAGAATTGGTACATTGTTTTTTTTTTCTCTGCATTTCTGTAGTCAATGCACTGGGCTGTCCAAAATAAGAAGGATCAAATGCTGGAAGCTCCTGACTTGAACAATAGCAACAACTTAACTAATGAGATTTGGACCCAGAAAACTGAAAACAATGAAGATGGATTGTCTGATGGGAACAGAGAGCAAGATGTTGCAATTCCTGATGTAAAACCACAGTCTTCAAAGAATCCAGACTCCCCAAGTAAGTAAAACCAGCAGTTACAGCAGACTGCAAAGGCAGCACTGTCCTGAAACTGAGGCTTCTAGTCATGAAGAATTCTCCAGAATAACACATCTGGTAGCTTTTTTTAATGTGGATTTGGATTGGGATTTTGTTACAGCTTTTAGGATTTGTTTTTGTTTTTTTTTTTTTTGTTTTTGAAGCTTTCAGGCCTTTCTCCCTCCCTGCCCCCAGTTTCTTTGCCTGCTAGATAGTGAAACCAATGTTAGTCATTTTTAAATCAAAATGAAAAACTCACATTTCCTTCTAGATTGAAGTGAGTAAAAATAATAAATTATTTTCAATGATTAAAAAACAAACAAACAAACAACCAAACAAGAAACAAACGGCAAAACTTTAAATCATATTACATAAAACATTTAGATTGCTTTATTTTTTTTCTTTTTTTTTTTTTTTCTTTAAACCCAGCATTCAATACTTATGCATAGTTTGTATCTAATGAGCTAATGCGGATTAAAAATTTAGCCTTGAAGGTTTCTTTTGTATTTTTTTTTTTTAAATAGTGCACACACCAGAATAAGTGATGCTTTTCAAAAACTATCATCTGGCCAGTTAGTATTTCCTATCTATTTTTAGGTTAGTAGATCTGAACCAAATTTAACTTACCACAAAGGCCGCCCTCTGTTCTGTTTCATACTTTAGCAATTTCATAATGTTATATATATATTATTAGAGAAATATTATTAAACATTTCTGTCGTTTCTTCTCAGTTTGACTGAACAGGGAATTAAAATAAACTGGGAGGAAACGAAAGTTAGCTTAAGTGTTTATAGAATGGAGAAAATAAAGTTCTACAAACGTTGGTGAAATGTAACTAAAAAATAACTTATAACATTATACTGCTTGTTAATTTAGGTAATTAAATCAGCTTTGTAGACTTTTGTAAAGTAATTACATTTCAAAGTAAGCAAAATGTCACCTTGTTCCTTGTGATAGTAAGCTTTCTTTGAAGGCATCTTCTTTCTTACAATTTTTGATGTTTTTATGTTCTTCATAGATTTGAAGGTGAAAAAATCAAACCCATGAAACACCTACTTAGTGCATCCAGTAGGCACATACATGTGTTGATAAATGTGGCCATCAGAATGTATTTATTTTTCAGAGCCCATATGTACAACTGTGTTCATACCTGATGTTAGCATGCTGATAACTTTCTTTGGATCCACCCAGGAAAATTTTTAATATTGGATGCTCATTTTAAATGGAGATAGATTTGATTTCTGTCTGCTAGTGCAGAGGAGTTACAGACCACAGCTCAACATGTACATTTCAACCTGAATGAAATAATTGAACAGTAAGTCCAATAACAGGTTTCAGCTTCCTGATGTAGGAAGATCACATTTTAGTATTCAGAACTAATAGAGCATAAAAATGAAGTTCTGGGCCTGGAATAAAATATGTAGGTAAGGGCTGAAAAACTCCTCAACTCCCCTGTG